CGTCACCTGCCCGGCAGGCACAGCGGTTTAACCCCCTCCCTGCCGCTGCCCCCGCCCCGGCTGGGACCCTGCGGGGACCCTGCGGGCTCTCCGTGCCCCCGGCCGCAGGGAAAGGTGGGGGACAACCAGCTTCCCCCGGGGACAACGGGATAAGGGGGGAGAGAAAAGCCTGGGGGGGTCCTGCAGCTGCACCCCACAAACTGTGGGGTGTTCAGAGCCAGAGCAGAGCCCGGTGCCAGCACATGGCCGGGCTGTCCCTGAGCCCGTCCTTGCCAAAAATGGCTACAGCCCAGGCTCAGCTCCTTGCCCAGCTTCACCCCACAGCGAGAGCCACGGGAAAGATTTGGGGCAAGGAGGGCTCAGCTCTGAGGCTGGGACCCCGCTGACAACCGGTTCTTGCTGCCTTTAGGTTTGATGGCAAATGCAGGCAGGAAAAGCACAGATCTGGGAATGACAGAGACCTGGGAATCATGGCAAATCCCTGGAAATCACAGCAAATCCCTGGAAATCACAGCAGATCCCATCACCTCTACTGGAAACCCTCCCAAGGGCAGCCCCTCAAAATCTGAGAGAAATCCCATAAAGAAATGCCGGACACTAGAAAGGTCTTAAATATTTAGTTCTGATTTATTCAAAGTCAAGTCAGTTTGTGGACGCTATTTATATTATTAAAAACACTTGGAGGTTTGTACTTCTAGCAAAAATATACATTTCAGTTTGAGGGTTGTTAGACTGTCGAGGAGGGAAGAGCAAAAAAGTTCCCCAGGTGTGATGAGCACGCGAGTCCTGCATGGCCACCACGGTGGGGAATGCCACCGGGGGCTTTGGGAAGGACAAACCCCCCCCCCCAAGCCTGCATGCAGCACACACACATCTCCGGTGCCTTCCCCAAAAGGGCTTCAAAGTGCTTTAGAAATGGTAAATTCATAACACCCCTGCGAGGTAGGGAGGGGAAGGGGTAGGGAAACTGAGGCACGGTGAGGAGCTGGAGGGCAGCAGCAGGGGCAGGGTTGGGTTCAGCCAGGCCCGT